CAGAATTACATAGTCGCCACACTTAAATATTTTTTTATGGGAGAATTTAGGAAACCCTGACTCGGTGCCGAAGGCCACATGTCCGTCATCACGAGTTGTCTCGGCTCGGGAGCTTGGGTACGATCGGGAAGGTCAGCTATGAGGGGACTGCTTTGCCAGATACAGAGTCGCCACCTTAAAATATTTTTTTTATGGGAGAATTTAGAACCCTGCTCGGGTGCCGAGGCACATTTCCGTTCAATCACCGGAAGTTGTCTCGGCTCTGGGAGGCGTTGTAGAGTGACAGATTAGCTAAAGCCTACTAGGGTGAGGGCAAGGTTCAGGCTTATGAAGCACCCCCCTTTCGCCCAGGCCGAAGGACCGGCCTCTATAACTACCTCGTTTATACTGAATTTTTGAAAAAACTTTATGGTGTCTTATTCCGGTTATTTAGGCCTAGAAAAAAAAAAATCCCTCTCCCCTTTTTTTTTTGAGATTCTTGAGTGCAAAATGAAGCCCCGGAAGTAAGCTTTCTGATGGTGGTGGCCCCATAGCTAAACTCCAAGTGTACAGATAGATAAGCCCGATTCAGCAAGGGCTGCTTGACTCGCTTCTACCCGGATTCATGCCGAACTTCTCCCAAACTAGTTTTCTCCTCTCCTTTCCTCTTTTCTTCAACTCCAAAACCCTAAACAAAGTGTTTTGAAAGATTTGCCTCTCTTCTAGCCGAAGAAACTGATTCTTTGCCCTGCACATCTCTCAACACCGAGCAAACCATCAGTAGTGCCCAAGTCTTAAGGGCGGTCAAAAATGGGGTGTCTACAATTTAATACTCCATTCTTTCGAAAAAATAGTCAAATTCATCTTGGTCAAACCTCAACTAGTAAATTAAAGGGCATTGATAATACTACTTCCACTCAAATTAGTAAACCTGTTTATTCTACACACACACATTTACCTGAAGCAAAAATTGCTTCTAATAATTCTCCAACCCAAACTGACTTTGAGGAATTTGTACCACCAGTCAATCCTCAATTAATGACAATTAAAGACTTCCAACCTGATTTAGACAAATTGCTTATTGAATTTAAATCTTCTAAAAAAAAACACTCCGACATGCTTACTATGCTAAATATAATTCTGCTCAAATGTCCAAAATTACTAGACAATGGTATGATTTTATGATTGAATATGGTTTTGAATTACCTCTATTAGAATATGTTGACAAATATTACCAAAAGATTACTACAATCACAAAACATAAAAGGAAAACTTCTGTTACTACTTTCGTTAGCTCTAGTTATCCTTCTTTAGAGAAAATACTTCTTACTCAACAAGGTTCTGAAATCCCTGCGTCACCATTCAAATTACCTAGTAAAGATAATGAAATTAAAAAAGTTATAGTGAACAGTAACTTTAACTATTCATTACTTTCGGTGGAACATGTGATTATGGGAAACAATATAAATACAAATTGGCAGCTTTTCTCAAAGAGTATTGACTGAAGCTAATTTGTATTTATAGAGAATCCTATGTTGATCAGGCATATGGGTCCTAAGCATCTTGGAACTCAGACCTTCCATATGAGATGGTTTTAGTAGTTGAACCTTCAGAAGATTGTGACTGGTTTGAACTGTCTTCTGAATTTTCTAAACTGGTTGACTGGGCTTCACCTTGATCCATAATTTTGCGAACTAGCTGGAGCACTTCATCTTTGGATAATTTGGACTTGCTTTTGGATTTGACTTTGGGTTGAGCAAGAGGTGAAATGGGCTTTAACCGATCCTTGGATTTGGATTTTGATTTGGGCTTTGATTGAATCTTGGGCTGAGCCGGTACTGCAGGAGCTTTGGACTTAGCCTTGGACTTTGGTTTATCAGTTGAGGGCTGAATCTTTAACTTGGATGAATTGGGCTTGGAACCACTAGATGAGGGGCTTCCAAGGTTGATTGGAGGAAGACTGGGTTGACTTCCTTGGCTGATTGCACAAGTTGGGTTCTGCTCGGTTTTAGCAATTGCAAGAGTAGGAGCACATTGATCAATGGGGAGTTCTTCTTGAACAATTTCAATTATGCGGGGCAAATTGAACTTAGCCCACCATTTGACTGGGTGTTGACGGATGATTATATTATCATCAATTCCATAATGCCATTTAAATATCCAAGGGATTTTATATTTGGATATAAAAAATTACAAAAATGGAAGTGTTCTCTGATGAGCAGTGAATGGGTAAACAGAGGCAAAATAATTAATTAGTTCAATGAGATCACCATGGAGGATATCTGAAATGGCGCCATAATGAGTCCACCATCTCAGAAACCAAGAAGGTAATTCAGACTTGAATTTTTGATCAAAAGAAATGAACCAAGAGTGACTGAAAGTTTCATTTTGGTACAAGAAGATCTTGAACCAAGCATCAATGTAATCATGGTAATTGTATTGAATAGAGTGACCAGGCAAATCACGAAGCTGATAAGGAGGACCCCATTCAGCTAAGGAAACAATGTTATGAATGTAAATAGAATGATACAGAACCTTGCTAGCATAGGTTCGATCATAAATGGGTTTGATCAAAACTGATTGGTGATGGATCAAAATATCCTTGTAATAGGTGAGTGTTTTCTCTGGATGTGAGAGGATGAAATGGTATCCAGAGCCAAAATAGGATTTAGCAATTTCATGAATAACTTGGCCTTTGGGGTGACTAGGTTCTTTGTAGAACAGATTAGTAGTGTGTGATTTGGTATAATCAGATCGAGATGACCTAACTGGGTTAGCAGGGAATGGAGTAACTGAAACTGCTTGGCAGGAAGAAGCAAAAGGGTCTGAGGCCAAAGTAGATGAGTAATTGGGTCGATAAATGTTACCAAGAACTTGGTAACGGTTAACCATTTCAAGAGGGTGAGACTGGGTTATGGACTCAGAAGGAGGAGGAACAAGAAGTTGATTAGGTTTACTAGAAGATGGGACCAAAGCCTTGGAGGGAGGTCTTGGACGAGACATCTGTTAAGCAAGAAACAATGATTAGCAACCAGTAAGAAGATCTAAATAATTCTGACGATGATTTAAACAATTATAATTGTGAGCAAGTAAATTTCGACGGGCTTGGATCTGGTGGTAATTAATGTATTGGGCTCGTTTAGTGGTTGGTCGGGCTAATTTGAGGCGGTGAATACGATGGGAAAGTTGGTTGATTTGGGTTCTGAAATGGGTAATTCGGGATTTATGGTAAGAAATAAATGGTGTAGCAGGTGCAATCATCCCTTACCCCCTATAGAAATTCGCGGGTAAGAAAGTCAGGAAAGGAATTGTGACAACCAGGTATATAGGTAATATCAAAATCAAAAATACTCAAAATAGATTACCAACGGGCAAAAATTTGCTTACTAGCAAGATTTTGAACATCTTTTTCCAAAACATATTTAGCAGATTTGCAATCAACACGAAATAAAAACTTTTGATTTAAAATATCATCTTGAAATTTTTGAATACATAAAACAGTAGACAAAATTTCTTTTTTAATAGTACTATAATATAATTGTGCTTTATTCCAGACACCAGAATGATAATGAACAATTTGTTCAGAGGATTGAGGAGTAATTTTTGGGAGAAGAATGCCACCATAACCAATATCAGAAGCATCAGTTTGAATAATTTTGAAGGAATTTTCAGTAGGAATACCAAGACAAGGAAGAGACATAACATATTGTTTGACTTGTTTAACAATAGCAGTATGAACAGGAGACCAAGGAGGAGGATTATCCTTTAACCGATCAAACAGAGGTTGACAAACTTTTCTAAGGTCTTTGTAGAACTCAACAATGTAATAGAGGGAACCTAAGAATCTTTGTAATTGGGTTTTATCAAGAATTTCATCAGGAAACTTGGAAGCAAATTCAATGGATCGACTAATGGGGAGAATAGTATTTTGGTAAATATCATATCCTAAAAACCTAAATTTAGTTTGAAACAATTTAATCTTATGAGCAGATATGACTAAATCATGACTTTTAATTATGTGAAAGAATGCAGTTAAATGTTTCCAATGGTCATGAATTGATTTTGAAAAAATCAGAATGTCATCAATATAAACAATAGAAAAATGACTAAATGGGTTGAATATGTCATTCATGATATTTTGAAATTCACTAGGAGCATTTTTTAATCCAAAGGGCATGACATTCCATTCATATTGACCAAAAGGTGTATTAAAAGCAATTTTGTATCTATCTTTAGGATGAATTTGAATTTGCCAGAAACTACTTTTTAAATCAAATTTACTAAAGATAATGGCTTGACTAAGTCGTTTAATCAAATCTTTTTTATTAGGAATAGGATATCGAATCCATTCTAAAACAACATTTAATGGTTTGCAATTAATGACTAAGCGAGGGACGCCTCGTTCTAATTTGGCATTTTTATTGACATAAAAAGCAGGACAAGACCATGGTGATTTACTGGAACTAATTATTCGATTTTTTAATAATCTATTTATTTCTTTTTTACACATTTCAAATAAATCATGATTCATTTGAATAGGTCCAAATTTAGTAGGAATTTGTCTTTCATTAAAATTTTTAATATACGGCAAAGTAACTACATGCTTTTTCCTATGCCAAAATGCAGTAGGTAAAGTTGAACAGACAGTGGATTCTAGTTTTAATTTAAATTCATTAATTTGATAAATAAGAACGGGATCAGTCAATTGTTGGTCAATACGTTTATAATGAATTTCTTATTTAAGAGAGTTTAAATATCGAGTTAATCTGTTAATAATATGAGAAATAGAACAGTCTTTTAATTGATTTAATTCTAGCATTTCAAGTGGAGATAAAAATTTAAATGTAACAGGTTGTCCTAAAATGTGAGTTGTTATGCCTTCACTAGATGTAGTAAATGGATATGGTAAATAGATAAATGGTGTACCTAAAATAATTTTATCAGTCATATTTTTAACCAAAACAAATGAAGTTTTAAAACATACATTATCTTGACAAACATGAATTTTAGGTAATTTAGATTTAATATACATTTGACTACCATTAGCAGAAGTTAATTTCTCATGACATTTTTCATAATATTTAGTAGGAAGTAATCCTTCTTCTATACAATTTAAATCAGCACCAGTATCTATTAAAGCAATTAAGTCTAATTCAAAATCTTCAACAATGATTTTAATTTTTGAATACCATTTTTGAATATAAATTTTATTGATTAGAGTTAATCATTTTTCTTCAAGATTATTAGATTGATGAGAGCGATTGTCAAATAAGAGTTTATCGGGATTAGTATGATCGGAATCTTGTTCAGAATTATGTTCAGATGCATTAGGTGATGCATTTGGATTAGGTTGGAAATTATCTAAACTCTGGTTAAGTTTTAAAGTAATAATTTCATCTTCTAATTTTTTGTCTTTTTGGTGTAAATCTCTGATAGTTTGTTTAATTTGGTTGATTTCAAATTGTAAATCCTGAAGTGTAATTTCTTTATTTTTGTTCTTAAATCTTTCTAAAGTCTTAGATAGACTAATAATAGGTTTATCAAACTTAGGTTTCTTATCTGAATGAAGTAATAAAGATTTTAATTTATCAATATATTTTTGTTTTAAATTAGGATTATCTAATTTACTAATTAAGTCAATTAGAGCAAATTCTTCTTGAGTTTGTTTGGTAAGGACAGTAATTTGTTTGACTGATTTGCAGCAGACATCATTACATCCTACTGTTATATTATTATTATCAGAATTAGAATCAGTATTGGTTGAATGATCATCAGAGGAAGTTGCTGGGTTATCGGAAGAAGAATTACTAACAGAGTGGTTTAATTGAAAGATTTCAAATATTTGAATTTTAGATTCATCATTTATTTGTAATTGATTAACTTTATCTTTTAATTTTTGTTTTTCTTTACATTTATTAGAATAATGACCTTTCTGACCACAATTATAACATGTAATATCTTTATTAGATTTAGATTTTGGATGTGGTTTTTTGTAATATTTCTTTTTAGGTTTAGTATAAAATTTATCAGTGGATTTGGAAGGAGAATAATTCTTTTTATATTTATTCGAATATTTGAATTTATATTTATGTTTAGAATATTTATGTGATTTTTTACGAGAGGGTGCGACAGGAGGTAAACCATATTGTTCACAGAAATTTCCTAATTCATATTTAGCTTTATGTTTATCTTTAGTGGCTTTTTGACTGAGTTTAAGATCAATACACATTTTTAATCCTTCTTTTTGAATAGTGCTAATAATATCGCCATAAGTTAAATTATCATAATCGATAACACCAGTAGGTTGACTAAGAACATCTCTAATTTTGTGTGCAAATAAGCTAGCTAATCCATTAATAAATTTTTCTTTCCAAAATGATTTAGTATAGTCTTCTCGTAACATAACTCTTAAGGTAAATACATCTTTATACAATCTAAAATCACTTAAGGTTGGACAAGTAAGATTACTAAGTCGATCATGTATACAAGAATAAATATTAGTAGGGGTACCAATAAAATGTCTAACAATCGTATAGGTTAACGCATTAATACCATCAGGGTGGCAACATCCAATATTTTCATCAAAGATAGGCAGACCATTATCATCAGTTTGATTAGTATAAATTATGGATTCTCTTTGATCTTCAATAAAATATTTTTCCCACCAAGATTTGAGTATACCAGTGAAACCAGAGGTAATTAAAGTAACAATTTCAGGTTGAGAATATTGGGAATAATTGGAGAGATAACTATTGGAAACCATAGATAGATGGTTTAATTTTTGGAGAATTTGATCTTCACTAAGACCATCAATATTCCATTCGTATAATCTTTTAGCAGAAACAGAAAATTGATTATTAAGATTAGTTTCTTCGAATTAGAGATCAGGAGGAGTAGGTCGAGAATACCAATTTTTGGTAGTTTGTAGATTAACTTTGGGATAATGAATTTTATTAAGATTAGAAGATTGGAATTGTTGAGCTAATTGATTTATGTCATTATCAGTGTTTTCAGTGTCAGATTGGGTAAAAACAGTTTCAGTATGAGGTTGTTGATTTAAAACAGTAAGACCTTTATCTTTAGAGGGTGAAGCATTATCAGAGGTAGATAGTTTAGTAAATAATTTTTCAATAGCTTTGACAGTGGATTGATCATTAGTAACTAAGCTGGTTCATTTGGAACGATTACTGGGTAGATTAAGTAAAGGTGGATCTAAAGGTTGTTTAGTGGATGTGTTTTGAACAGATTCTAAATTGGTTTCTATCTTGTCTAATTGTTTACCAATGGTGTTTAAACATTGATTAGTACAATTATTTTGTTCAATAACTTTTTTAATTTATTTAATTATCAACCAATCATCTTTTTAAGGGTAAATTACAAATACACCCCTTAAGGTTTACTTAAGGTACAGATTGCTCTTTGTGATTTAAAAAATTATAAATACCCCCTTATTAGAATTTTTATTTAACAGAATCAACTAAAAAAATGAAATTCATAATTGCACTCCTATACAATAATAAAATTACCTAAATTATCAATTGAAACATATTTCTAACATCATTAAAAATGGTTAATTGATTTAATAATTTATTAATAAAAGAGACGATTTATTATGAAATTAGAAACCTCAGGGGGTAGAATGTAATTTCCAAAATTATAAGGACGATTCGTGTTTTAATCAAATATTAAGAAATGTATTTATAATTTACCCCCTTTTTAATATATGTAAAAAAATATATATCTAATTTTTAAGTCAGAATAACAATACTCATATATATATATATATATAGAGTCTAACTTGTCTCAAGTTGAGATCAAGACTGGACCCGTCCAGTTCGACCCATGTGGTCCATTTTTTTGGGTCCATTTTGATAATCTGAACCGTTAGTGTGTAGAACTCGTCGAGTACTACATGCCTGTAAAAAATTACGTTGATCGGATATTAATAACTATGTGATCAAATCAGTTTTGTATAAAAAAAATGGACTGTGAAACAATTAACGGTTGATAAAAAATTATTTTGTTCACATAGCTATCGATATCCGATCAACGTGATTTTTTACAAGCATATAGTACTCGACGAGTTCTACATATTGACGGTTCGGATTATCAAAACGGGACCCGTGGTGGGCCCCCACGGGCCCAACAACACGGTCCAGTCCGATCTTGGACTGAACCAAAGCCACTGCCATATATATATATATATATATTATAAATCCATCTCCTCTTATCATAATTATAACACACTGTGCAAGTCCAACACCACCTATCTCGAGCCATGTGAAGTAAGAACATATCTACTCTATGTACAATCTTTTTCTCAAATTTGAAATTGAGAATAGCTTCTCTTACCACAAATAAAAAAAAGAATTACTTCTCAGAATAACTTCTCTTTCTCTCATTCTCATCTCTCTCTCATATCTCTCTTAGTCCCCTTTTTCATCTCTGTCAGTTCTCTGGCGAGGCTTGTGACCTCTGGCAAAAGGCTTGCGATGACAGAGCAGAGGCTTCGACCTCTAATCCAACTACAAAGGTTTGCGACCTCCGGCGAAAAGACTTGTGACCTCCGGCTACCATTGGTCCGCTGTAAGTTTCTCTCAACAACCCTTTTTCTTTCTCCTCTCATGTCAGTCGTGTTCAATCAAACCATGCCAAATTCGACACATATCTCACACTCGCACCCATGTCGTGTCGTGTCGTGTTGACACGGGTACTCTGCCCTAAATCGGCGAGTCCATGTAACACAGCATGTACGTATACAAAATAATACATCTATCAATTATAATCTAAATCCGTTATCAATAATACCCATTTTATTATCAACTAGTCAAAAACTTTAACTTCTAACATCATATTCTAAATATCATATAAATCCATACAAACCAAGTATGATCCATCTAAATTAAATATTACATACAAAAACACTAGATTTTCAAAACAGAGAATTGTTCCAAAATAAATGTCTTCCATATACAAAACAAATGCTCTTCGTACACATCCACAATAGCCCACGCAAAAGCAATCTGTAAAAAAAGAAAAAAAATTAATCATTAACACTTATTCAATAAAATTGACGTTTCAAATTATAACAATTATATAATTAATAATTTAAATATATTAATGTACTAGAAAATTCTATAAAAAAATGTAGGTGAAGGAAATTCAGAAGTGTACAAATAAACTAACAGGAGGCAACCATTAGTTCAAATAATTATTATTATTTCTTTTTAATGGTTGAAACTAGGCTTATGGACCACAATAATTATTATTATTTCTTTTTAATGGTTATTCCACTTTCAAATATAAACAAAATGAATTAAGGTTCTCTAAAGAAACCAACATGAGGCAACCATTAGTTCACATCATGCCCATTGTTAAATGGATCTGGTACTTGTATCAAAATTCTGAAGAAGTACTCTTCATAAGGTTGTTCCAAGAAAAAAGCAAAATGAAGATAACAATACTACCCACAAAAGCTTCAATCACTTACAGCTAGCTGCTTCAGCACCATCAATCTGTCTAGCTAGAATATTAATTCACCCATACTGCATATATACTAAGAGTGTCCACAAAAATGTCGAAGCAGCTGCTCTTTCTCTCATCATTATTACTTCTACTGATCTTCCTTTGCTGCCCACAGTTTTTGCTCCGTCTCCAGCACAAGCTCCAGTTTCTCAGTCTCCACTGCCAGCAGCACAAGCTCTAGTTACTCAGTCTCCACTGCCAGCAGCAAAAGCTCCAGTTGCTTCGTCTATTGTGCCACCTCTAGCACCATCAGGTCCACCCAACTTCACTGTAATCCTTGAGCAGGCCCATCACTTCACTACATTGATTAGGCTGCTAAAGAGCACCAGGTTGGATAACGAAATTTACGTAAAGCTCAATGACTCAAGTCAAAGCCTAACCATGTTTGCCCCAACTAATAATGCCTTCGGTAACCTTAAAAAAGGTATTCTCAACTCATATAGTGATCAGCAAAAGTTTTAGCTGATAAAATTCCGTCTCATCCCTTTTTTCCTTTCACTCCCTGCATTTCAAACTCAGTAATCCAATGAACACAGAGGCCGGTAGTAATGACTAGTACCCGATAAATATAACCACCGTGGGAAATCAGGTGAACATATTAACTGGGATCGTTGACACAACAATATCCGACACAATTTATTCTGATAACCAGCTAGCGGTATATCAGGTGGACCTGGTGCTCCTTCCATTACAAATCTCTATCTTTGCATTGTTCGCACACCAAACAAATAAATAAATGTTGAAGTATTACTCAAGAAAGCTGCATACACCAGAGATTCTCTATTACACTATTCCCTACAACACCATTGGGGCAATGTGAATTAAATACCAAATCATATTGTATATGTCCTTGTAGTTGCTAATTCTTTTTTCAATATAAAACATGTTGGAAAAATGGTTTAATATAGGCATATTTTTGGCCAATTTTGAGCCCAAAATTGAATGGGCCCCAAACGTCTTTTGGGGTGGGTCCAAAGAGGTGAAGTATTCATTGCCGCATGGCAAGTCACACGGTGAATATGAAACGTCAAAACCATTTATGAGTGAATGGGAAGTTGACGTCATTTTCGTGTCTAACATTAATTTTTTAGATAAAATTCATTTAAATTTTTTCAATAAAAAATTATTTTGAGAATTTAATTTAAATCTAAATTCAAATTTTGGGTTCCTAAGTGGTTTCCTAAAAATTGTACCTCTTCCTTTATTGATTAAACTATTCAAATAGTTTAATAAAAATAATTCCAAACAGTTTAAAAACTGTTCCACCAATGGATTTATTGATTAAACTATTCAAATAGTTTAATAAAAATATTCTAAACAGTTTAAAAACTGTTCCACCAACGGATACTTTTTCAAACAGTTTGAAAATTGGATCTAAGCAACGGACAGATCACTATTCAACAGTTATCTGTTTGAATAATGCTTGCACCTGTTCAATTTAGATGTGCACCTATTCACTTCAATTTGGTACCTATTCGGGTCAGTTTTTTGCCTATAAATTCAGACCATTTCCAGCAGTCTTGTATCATCAAAAATCAGTCTGCAAAATACCTTTTGCTGTCCAATTTTCATCTTTGGTGCATTATTCTCCATATTAATTTTCGAATAAATATTCAGAGAGTTAGAACACAGGTTTGGTTCGTCGAACAATTTCTTTTGGAGTGCTACTACAAATTGGTTAAGATCATTGTATGCTAGGAGATAGACGCCACATAACCGTAAGCACCGTAGTGGGGCGAATCTGTTTTAAAGACAGAGTGTCACACACTCGACTTGGTCTTTTATTTTCCATTTGGATTGACAAAATAAATACTGTAAGTTTTATTTTATTTTGTTTAAATTAGTTTCGATTTATTTTATTTACACAGAAGATTGTTCCAACAATCTTAAGACAGATTCGAATTATTTTGTTTACAGAATTTTTCGTTTGTTTCCTTTTTTTCTCTTTCTTTTTTTAAGAAAATTATTTTCTGTGGATTTACAAAATAATATTCTGGTTGGAAAAACAAATAGTGATTATATGCTATTTTATAGATAGTAGTAATATACTGTCTATTTTCTTTGACAACTAGTAGTAATATACTAGTGTCATTAACAATTCAAAATATATTTTTGTGAATTTTTTTCAGAAATTAATTTTGGTTTTTAGAAATTATTTTCTGAGTTTTCATTAATTAAAATTTTGTTTTAATATTTTAATTATTGAAGTGTTACATAAATTAATTTTTTGTGTGGAATTAATTTGGTTAAATAAAATTTTATTTTATTTTATTTGCAAATTAATTGAAAAATAAAAGTTACATTCTTGTTTCTTTTATTTTTACAGAATTTAATTCTGTAAATTTGGATTAATTTTCTGTGTAGTATAAATTCTAATTATAATTTTGTTTTATAATTTAGACTTGATGGCTACTGAAACTAATGCCCAAACAAGTACTACTATGGTGGCTGTAATTGCACCAACCCCCTCTCCTGTGGTGACAGTACCGGTAAATCACGGTGAGAAGCCAGAGAAGTTATCAGGAACTGATTTTAAAATATGGTAACAGAAAATGTTGTTCTATCTTACAACTCTGAACCTGGCTCGTTTCCTCCGTGAGGACGCTCCTATTTTGAAAGAGGATGAAACCGACTGGCAAGTGGTTGTTGCGGTCGATGCTTGGAAACATGTTGATTTCTTTTGCCGGAACTACATCTTGAACGGACTTGACAACACATTATACAACATCTACAATCCTATCAAGACAACAAAGGAACTTTAGGAGTCTTTGGAGAAAAAGTACAAAACAGAAGATGCCGGCTCAAAGAAATTTGTGGTTAGCAAATTCCTAGACTTTGTAATGGTTGATTCTAAAACTGTGATTAGCCAAGTTCAAGATCTCCAACTCATTCTGTATAACATTCACGCAGAAGGCATGTCTCTCAGTGAATCCTTCCAAGTTACAGCCTTAATTGAGAAATTACCACAAGGCTGGAAGGAATTCAAGAACTACCTCAAACACAAGCGCAAAGAAATGTCTTTGGAAGAATTAATTGTGCATTTGATGATTGAGGAAGACAACCACAATTTTGAAAAGCGGGCTGGTAAGCATCCTATGGAGTCGAAGGCAAATGTGGTGGAACATGCTTTAAAAACCAAGAAACGAAAGTCTTTTGGAGAAAGTTCATCACAAAGCTCTAAAGAGAGGGGAAAATAAAAAGTACAAGTTTAATGGCAAATGTTACATCTGTGACAAAGAGGGACGTCAGGCCAAAGATTGTCGTAGTAAAGGCAAAAACAAAAGAAGAACAAGCAAGAAGCCTGTTCAAGCCCATATGACTGAAATGGACAATATTTCCAACGGTGTAGATGACATCAATCTTTCTGCGGTTGTTTCCGAGGCAAATCTTGTCGGAAATCCTAAAGAATAGTGGGTGGACACTGGTGCTACTCGCCACATTTGTGCCGACAAAAAGATGTTCACATCTTATTCTACCGTGGACAATGGTGAACAACTTTTTTATGGGCTCCTCAACTTCCAAAGTTGAAGGACAAGGAAAGATTGTACTTAAGATGACATCTGGAAAGGAACTCACTCTCAACAATGTGCTGCATGTACCGGATATTCGCCAGAATCTTGTTTCCGGATCTCTGTTGAGTAAGAATGGGTTTAGGCTAGTATTTGAGAGTGATAAATTTGTACTTACTAAGAATGGGATGTATGTAGGAAAATGTTACATGTCTGATGGCCTTTTCAAGATGAATGTAATGACCGTTGTACCCTCAGTTATTAATAAAAATACATCTTCTTCTTACCTACTTGAGTCTTCAAATTTATGGCATAGTAGACTAGGACATGTTAATTATGGATCTTTGCGTAAATTAATTAATTGGAATGTTTACCTAAATTTAACATTGATTCAAATCATAAATGA